GTGTGTGTGTGTGTGTGTGTGTTCCCACCACCCCACCACCCGAACCAGGGACTGAACTCAGGCCCTTGCACTTGCCAGGCAAGTGCTCATGTATATATTTATGAGTGTCCTCTTTTTTAAACTTTGCATTTTAAAATTTTAGGTTACATGTACATAAGATATACATGTAACCTAAAATTTACCATTTTAACCTTTTTTAAGTGTGTAGTTCACTGGTATTAAGTAAATTCACAGTGCTGTATGGCTGCTGTTATCCATCTCCTGAACTTACTCATGAATGTAATAAGATACAATGAACACATTAAATAATTCCCTCACCAGTCCCTGATAACTTTCATTCAGCTGTCTTTCTGTTTAATTTGCTATTTTCGACGCTTCATCTGAGTGAAATCATAGGGCATTTGCTACATCATGTTTGGCTTCTTCACTTAGTAGGATGTTTTAAGGGTGTGTCTCTAGGGCAGCATGCAGCAGAATCTCTTTTCTGTTTGTAAATATTCTGTTGTATGAATAGGTTATGTTTCTGTTTTCCATTCATCTCCTGATAAACACTTGGATACCTTTTGCCTACTGTGAATAGTGCTACTATGAAAGTAAAGATCTGCTTCCAGTTCTTTGGGGTATATGTCCACAACTGGAATTGTTAGATTTTACTGTTGGTTTATATTTTATAATGCTTACAGTCACACAGAAAAGCATGTTGTATCATCTCAGATCAGAAAAGTACATATGTTCACCATTTTAGGTCAGTTGCTGTCATTTAGTAATTGGTTTTTTGCTGAGGTCATACGGAGAGTTCATTCTTCATGGCACAAAGAGAAAAGAGACATTGGAATTGCTGAACGGGATAATTCCACCAGTGCTCAAATGAGATCAGGGGAAAGACGTGTGGAATCCTTTCAACAGTTTCTTAGGGGCCGGGGAGATGTCTCAGTGGAATAAGAGCTTCCCTGGCAAGCGCAAGGGCCTGAGTTCAATCCCCGGTTCTGCAAAAATGAGTTTCTCAGTGAGTAACCTCACAGCAGTCCTGGGCTCCCACAGGAGGGCCAAGACAAAGAAGGGCAGCTGATAGGTATTCACTGTATCCCCACAGACCCCAGGGCATTAGGTGCACTTGCATTGGAAGAAGTTAGCAGGCACACTTCCTGTTTTCCAAGGGCTCTGTTATAGAAGGGTGATAAAACAACTGCCCCTGTGGGTGGAGGTGGGGAGTTAACTTGGAGTTGTGTTGGGTGCAGGGGGACTTGCAGAATTAATTGAAGGGAGAGGGGATTTCAAGCCTCTTTTAAAAGGCCTGAGTGTTGGTGAATTGGGGAGACCCCAGAAGGTCATTTTGACTCATGGAGGCTGGCGGGTTCACCCATGTTCAGCTCCATCCATCAACGGCAGTCAGTTCCGAGGGGAGTCAGTGAACTTGATGGCACTGCCAGGTGGACCGTGTGCTCAGCCACCTCACGAAAGCCTCCAGATTCCCTTAGCCAAAAGCTGTAAGTAGGTGTACAGATGACCTCATTTTCCTCAGCAAAAGAAAAAATGCTAACAGAGGTTCACAGAAATACAAAGCTGTCTCTTTATGCTCCTAAATTGATCTGTATCACTTGCCTTCGGTCGAAGAAGTCTAGATTTCAACATAAGAGTTTATTAGCACATTGTTTATTTTTGTGCTGAACCAATTTTTAAAAGTTTAGCATCCACACAGAGAGAAAATTCCATAACGCCTTAAGTAATGTGAGTGATTAGAGATATACTTCAATATCAATTGGATTTTTAGCTTTATTGGGAAGCATATTAGTAAGTTCCTGATCATTCTTCTGACATTTTGTAAACCATTAAGAATTCTCTGGCTTCAGGGGTTTTTGTCCATGAAGAGAACTAACATTCCCCTTGGAGATTTAATAGCCACTCCGAAATAATGTCTCATATTTAATAATATTTTCATTACTTTTACAAACTATACTCTAGTACATTTCCTGATGGATATACAATGAAGTAGCAGAGATCAGACGGTTCCCAATAAATTAATGAGGAGGAACATAATACTCAGAGGGGGCTAATGAATCACAGAATGCTTCACTCATAAAATTAAGCAACCTTCAATAAATGTAAATGAATAAATGATAATGGCTCAGCATTTTGTAGTTTCTAAGTGCTCAGAGCAACCTTGTAAATAAGCGGGAGCCTTAGGAGAGGAGATGGGAGAGGGACAGCTGCTAATGTATAAATTACTACTCAGTGACAGTGATGGCAACTTTAATTTACTCTGGTTCCTGTGGAAGGACTAATTAGTATGTTCTTCAGGATACAAAATGAAAGTGATGTGCATCTTCAAAAACAGGTCTAATTCAGGAACGGATTCTATCCTGAAATTTTTTATGTCGGCCAGCTTTAAAAAAAAAAAAAAAAAAAAAAAAAATTCAAAGGCTTTTGTTTGACTTTCTCTTAAGAACTCAGAGGCGTCCTGTAAATTGTCATCTTTCTTCTTTTTGTCCAAAACTAGCCTTACCAAATGATCTTGATTTGACCTTGAGTCAGCTACTTTCTGGCTGTGTGACCTTGAGGAAGTATAAACTCACCTGAACCTTGGAATCCTTGTAGGCACACAGAAATCTGATGAATAATGTATGTGCAGGTGATTAGCAGGGTCCTGGGCCCAACAGGGGCCTTCATTAATATGCAGCGAGTTAAAATATGCGCAGAGAAAACAAAGGACAGCTCTCCACAGCTCCTTGGGCCTGTGCTTTGTCTCTGGCTTCTTTCAGTGACCACAGAGCTAAGTAGAAGAGGGAGCGAGTCAGTGGATGAGGAGCTGAGGGCTGGTGATGGGGACTGGCAGGGAGGCGCGAGCCCCACTGGGCCGTCTGCAGCCTGGGGCTGTCGCTTTTCTTGGGTGTGCCTGCATGGCTGGCAGTGAAGCTCAGGGACTGCATGGCACTTTTTCTGCCCTGAGTAGCGCATGCACCTGCTGGTACACTGTGAGACCAGGAACAAGGGCCAAGAGCCGGGGAGGGCCGTGCTGACTGGCTCGCTGTCTCCTCTGGGTTCGTCTGTGTCAGAGTCTGAAGGCATGGGGTGAAAAGAGAGCAGCTGGACCTCTGGAGCTCCAGTCCTGGCAGTCCTGCAGCCCAAAGCCCCCCACACTTTTTCTTTTTTGTTACCAGGAATCAAACTCACGACCTTGCAACCTTGCACTTGCCAAGCAGGTGCCACTGGGCAGTATCCTCAGCCCCACAAGCTCCCTTTAGACACTGAGCTATCACCTTTTCTCTCCTGAAATGAAATTGGTGAATATAACCTGCCTACATAAGTAATTTCAAAAGAAAGGTGGTTCCCAAAGTGTAATATGAAGAAAATAAAAGGAAAATAATTTCTAATAAAGTAATGCGCATTTCAGTATTGTGCATGTGAGAACTATATTAAAAGATACAGCATCATGTTCCTTTGTACAGCGAACATTTGTATTTAAAAGAAGTAACACATCCGAAAGAACATTTTCAGCCTTTTTTGCTTGTCAATGATATTATGAATCAGCTAAATTTAAGAGTGTGTATACATAGCACACATACATACATAATTTCCTCAAACCAGATAGCTATAAATATAGGCCAATGGGGTATTCATTGAAGAGTCTGATATGTTGAGTGGTTTTTACTTTGTTACCATGACTTTTCCAAAGTACTGACAGCATATGAGTGAAGTTCCAAATAGAGTATAAATATTTCATGATTTATATGGTAATTTTCCCCTGGAAAATTCAGTGTATATTAAAACTATATCAAAGCATTAGATTCTATAACTCCACATGGAAGCCCTGCAGGGCATTTGAAAGTTATTTGGTCGAGGATAGCTTAGGGGCAGAGAGCGTGCTTAGCACGACCAGAGGCCTGAGCTCAGACCCCACCATCAAAGGAAAAAAGGGGGGACCATTCGTGGGCATCATTGGATGTCATGTGTCCCTGGTCTGCACCCGTACTCTAGGGGTAGCACATCAACCATTATGGAAGCTGAAAATGTTCTCGCCACTGCCTTAAAGAGATACAAGAGTAGAAGTGGAGAGACATAGGTCGGGGATTGATTCAGCTGTCTCGAAAAAAACCTCTTCAAGACCTCAGAATTGCCAATATCCATGCTTGGTGTTTTTGTCAACACTCTGTTCTTAAAATCTCTGTTAGAATAAAAACTGCTGATCTTATGCTATACTGCTTATGAATTATCTATAAATTTTAGACTCCAGTGTTCACTAATGATTATTACCAAAACCATTCAAAAAATTCTGGTTTTCTGATGGTATCATTTTTCTGTCACTTTTTGCATGCACTGATCCTCTTGTGACTTTAACAGCCTTGATTTTACTGCCGTTTTCTGTGCTTACCTGTCATCCTAGCTGGGATGACAGATACTGACTTGCTCTAGGTGGTTGTTAGGGATGGTCAGTGTTCCACTGCTAGGACCTGACTAACGCAGAGTTATTTTGGCTCGTGTTTCAGCTTTCATTCCAGAGCTGGCTAGCTAACTCCAGGTAGAAACATGGTAGAAGGGTACGGAAGGAGAAAGCTGCTCAACTCATGCCACTGAGGAAGCAGAGAACAGAGGTGGACCCTGAGAGCAGGAGCCTGCGGCCCACACAGTTATAGTTCAGGACAGTTGTTCACCAGGAATTGGAGCCACCTGTAAGGTTGAGGTTGTAGCCCCGTGAAAGAGCACCTGCGTGGCAAGCACAGGCCTGGCTCCCACCTCCAGCAGCATGCACACGAACCCCCCTGTCATGTAGTTACAGCAGTTTACTTCCGAGTGGGATTCTGGATGTGGAGTCATCACTCTTTGTTCTTCTGTGCTATTTATTTAGGTTTATGATCTCAAGGAGGAAAATGTCTCTTACCTATGCAGATGCAGTTCAGTAACATTAGAAAAGCATAATGCTTCATCTTGCCCTGGTGGTTTTAAAAAAAAAAAAAAAAAAAGCATTGTCTGTGCAATTGAGGATTGTGTTTTCTCTTTTCCAGCTGACATCCCAGCATCCTTATGCTGAAGTTTTCATCGGCCGGCCACATGTTTGGACTGTTGATCTCAACAATCAGGAGGAAGTAGAAGATGCAGTGAAAGCAATCTTAAATCAGAAGGTTCTGTCTCTTATTTCACCTTCCCCCCACCCCCCACCTTTAAAGTGACCTACATGTATGGAAAGCACCACAAGTCCTGCATTCTACAGTGCTGCTTACCCACAGTAGCTGAAGCTAGAAAACAGACAAGCTGTAGGATTTGGCCTGGGGAGTTCCTGGGTGTTCTATGAAATGAAAAATGAAACTAGTGTTCAGTTGTGGGCACAGATTCTGTGGGTCCTCTTGACAGGACTCCTATAGGTCTCAAGGTTGGGAAGAGCCGCTTGAATTTTACTTGGTCTCACAATCTGTTGTTTGTTTGCTTGTTTGTTTTTGGCAGAACCCAGGATTGAACTCAGGCCCTTGTGCTTGCTAGGCAAGCGCTTACTCTACTGAGCTGTCTCCCCAGCCCTTCACAATCTAACTGTGACACTTACAGAAATCTGAAGCAATGGCTCTGCTTCTTTTACCTTCCCCATAAAGAGCTCGACAGATGGAGATAGCTATGGGCTGGTGCTGAAGGAAATACTGGGAGAAGGTTTTTGTAGAACATCTCTTTATTTGGTTTTTCTGAATGTCTGGTAGAATCTTGTAAAGAGAACTAACTTTTGTGGCCTCTCCTGATGAATTCAGCAGACACTGTGTGCCTCTACCATGCACAGAATGCCCTCTGAGATGCCCTGGGAGGAGGAGGGTTGTTAGGTCCCCAGATATCATAGATGAGTCCTGCTCTCTCTGTAGGATGTTCACAGCCATCTCTGCATGTGATTGGTTATCCCCTAACTGCCTCAGACTCTCTCAGGTGAACCTACCCCTGTATTTCTTTTATTAGACCACTTTTCATGTTTGGATATAACATTTTAAGAGAAGTGTATACACACGTGAATGTGAGCAGGATTCACACTAGATTTGGATCCTACTTTCTAGCAGCATTCCTTTATCTGTCGTGTAGAGTTAATCTTACCTATCTTATTAGTCACGTATACAGACTGAGATTTTGTGTATAGTATGCTTAAATATAGTGTCTACCACATAGTGTCCAGTTAATATTTAAGTTCATCTTTATTAATTGATAGTCTGGATTTCTAAATTTCATGTTCTTAGAGTCTATACTCTTGAGGACAGCAAGCATATCTGCCTGTTGTATTCTCAGTAAGTATATCTTGCCCTTGTGATCTACCTGGTGGATGATGGATGGGTGGGCAGACAGACAGACAGATGAGTGGGAAGGAAGGAGAGAGGGATTGAGGTTTCCAAACAAACATATAGATATAACACAAGGCAGAAGTTGTCCTTGCCATAAGTACCATGCAGAAAATATAGGAGAAAAAGTAGAAAGAGTCTTTCTGGAAAACAGTTCTCCGTAAGTTGACTCTTCTAGGGTAGGTGCAAAGCAAAATGGAGGGCATGGATTTAGGGCATGAGGTACAGAGCAAGAGGCTAGAAATCCATCTTAGGAAGAATGGCCACGTTGCCCCTGTGAAGGGCCATGTTTCCTCTCTGGGAAATAAAATGGAATAATTAATTCACGGCCTACTGTATGACTATCAGTTTAAACTAATTGAGCATTTCCACGGCAAGAAGCATACACTGATGTGTTATTCATGCCCTGCCCCCTTAAAGATGATCTGGCATTGGGTAGGGGTGTGGCTGTCAGCTTTCCTTTGAGGACCTGAACAGTCCCAATGTCGGTTGCAACAGTTTCAGGCAGAAGTGCCCAACCTGAGGTGAAAGCTAATAGAAGTGTCTGATGGAGTATGGCACCATTGGGCTGCCTCAGAAAGCTTCACCACCAGGGAGTCATTGCTGAGGTGAAAGGAGCTCTTGTTTGGCCTGTTGTTGTTGCTGCTGCTGTTGCTGTTGTTGTTGCTGTTGTTGTTGTTTTTCAGTAGTGGAGACTGAACCTGTGGGCTTTTCCCTGAGCTGCATTGCCAGCCCACTTTTATTTTGAGACATGGTCTCACTACATCAATAAATTGCCCAGTTTCAAATTTCCCATCTTCCTGTTGCTCTTTCCCAGAATGCTTGTATTACGGGCATTCGCCACCATGTCTGGCTCTTCTTGACCCTTGGTGTGTTCATTAGTTACCTAGAATACATAGAGTGGATTATACATCAGCAACATTACCTTCTATTTTGAGAGAATGAATGCCTGAAATCAAGGAGGAAATAATGGAGGAAAATAGTCTACTTGTATCTGAGATTTCACTTTCTGTCGTTAGCCTTGGCCCAGAATGTTGAGGGGAGATATTGAAGAAATAGTCTTTGTTTGCTTGCTTGCATGTTTGGTTGGTTGGTTGGTTGATTGATTGATTGATTGATTGATTGATTGATTGATTGAGATAGGGCTTCACTGTGTAGTTTAGGCTGGCCTTAGGCTTGCCTTTGTAGCCCAGGCTGGCCTCAGACTTTGACTCACTTAATCCTTCTTCCTCAGTCTCCCAAATGCTGGGATTTACAGGCATTCACTGCTATGCCGGCTATGTCATACATTTTATTATTATTTTTTTTTTTTTCAGAACCAGGGATTGAACTCAGGCCCCTGTGCTTGCCAGGGAAGCGTTTATTCCACTGAGCCATCTCCCCAGCTCCAAATGTCATACATTTTAAATTGAGCTCTTATTCTCAGTAGCATGATGAAATCTCATGCTGTCATGCTGTATGTTGTCTAGGACTTGAATCGACCTAACGTATCCATGCCGTGTGCTACCCTCCCTGGTTTACTTCCTTAGTAGTAGTCTCAGTCACCAGCTCTTGTGCTATCACAGTCCTTGTAAAGGGCGGAGTACCATTCCTTGGTTTCAGCCCTCCCCTAGGGGTTATTGACAAGGGGGTGAGGTAAACTCTGTTCTCCCAGCTTCTGGCAGCTATAGACATTCTGTGGCTTGCCACCTTGGAGCGCTAATCTCTGGCTCAGTCATCAAGTGCTTTCTTCCTGTGTGTATCTGCTATTTCTCTCCTTTATTGGATTAGGACCCACTTGGATTCAACATGACATCATCTTAATTACATCTGCAAAATCCTATTTCCAAATAATGCACATTCAAGATACTGGAGGTTAAGACGTCAGCATATCTTCTGAGGAGGTGCAGTTCAGCCTACCCAGGACACTTAATTAAGTACACATGCCCTTGAGAAGGACTCATTTGAAACCCAAGAGACATCAAACTTTAGATTATGGAGTGCAAAACTATATGTAATAGATCACTTTGCCAAAACCAAATCTAAAGTGAATCCCTAGTGCAAACCCGAGTACAGTGATTCTGTGTGGTCACTTCCATGTGGGTTTGTTCTGTTCACTCCATGCAACCTCTAAAGCTCACAGTTTAATTACAACCCTTGTCCACCTTACTCCACATTATTATGAAAACCAAGGCCACTTAAAAAACTGTTAACAGTGTAGTATACATTACTTACATTATAAGCTTTATCTTATTCAATTTTTGTGTGATTTTTGTATTTTTCCCATCTTAATAGATGAGAAAATTAAGGCTTAGAAGGTAAGCAATTTACCTAATGTCACATAGCTAGTAACAACAGAACCTGGATTTAAATTCAGGAATTTAATTGTTAAGACAATATGAAATTTAAAAAAAAAACATGAAATGGAATAAAGGGAAAGAATTAGAGAAATGGAGTAAGCAATAAAAAATTATCATAAAAATATTTATACTTAACAAAAAAGAAAGCAAAGAAAAAACTTGGGACTGGGAAGATAGCTCAGTGGTCTAAGTACCTGCCTGGCAAGTGCAAGGACCCAAGTTTAATCCCAGTATCACATGCTATGCTGGCCCCAGGTTCACAGGCACACTGTGTCAGCCACCAAAACTGGGCATGGTGGCACATACCTGTAATCAAAGCACTGGGGAGGCTGAGACAGGAGGATCACTATGAATCTGAGCTTTGTAGCAAGACCCTGTGCCAAATAAATAAAAGATTAAAAAAAGAAAGAAAGAAAGGAAAACCTCTTTGTACTGTTAGAAATGAATCGAATCTGGAGCTGAAGTTTCCCACATATAATTCCAAGACTGTAAATTATGTGACTCTCAGGAAAAAAAAAGGAAACAGTGACTTATGAAGACAGGAAAATACTGTGGTAGTTCGTCCCTGTAATGCCAGCACTCTGGGAGAGTAGAAAGGAGCAAGAGGATCACAAGTTCAAGTACAACCTGGACAGCTCAGTGAGATCCTGTCTCAAAATTTAAAAAATAATAATAATAACTGGGATTTAGCTCAGTACAGAGGCTCTGGGTTTAGAATCCCTAATGGAAAAAGAGAACAAGGTCAATCAAACCAGGCCTAGAAATAGCACAGATGCTAGAATTATCAGACAGCAGCTTAGTATAAAAAGTAGATAAGATATGTGAATATGCAGGAAACTTCAGCAGAAGTGGAAACATTATTTTGAGAGAGGAAAAAAACAAAAATTCAAAGCAAGATAATAGGATAACACTGGTATACATTGCACATTGTTACCTTTAAATTAGTTACTCAGAATACAAGATATTGACATTTAATTGTCCAAACTGTATTAACAGCTATTTTTAAGCCAGATGATAAATGCTAAAGATAAAAACTATAATAAAAAATGAATTAATTTTAAAAGTTCAAGGCTGGCCAAATAGTTCAGTGGATTAAAGCACCTGCAAGCAGGTGCAGGAGCCAGGGGTTCGATCCCTAGATCTGCTATGCTGGCCCCGCACCCAGGGTGACACATGCCTGTAATCCAAGCTCTTGGGAGGCTGTAAACAGGAGAATCACTATGAGTCCAATGTAGTAGCGAGACCCTGGGCACCCTGTAGACCCTTCCCTAAAATAGAGAAATAATAATTTTAGAAATTCATTTAGTGGACTTCTCACCAGACTGTTCCTAGCAAAAAAAAAAAAAAAAAATCAGTGAACTTCAAGACTTTTTAATAGAAATTCACAAATGCAAAGCGAAAAGAAAATGAAACAAATGAGCCTGTGAGGTCCATGGGGCAATATCAAGTAACTTAGGGGTGGCTGGTATCTCAGAAAGGAAAAAGAATGGCACAGAAGAAAAAATTGAAAGGATTTTCAAATAATGAATGACGTGAACTAACAGATCCTAGCAGCAGGGTGAACCCCAACCAGGATTTAAAAAAAAAAAAAAAATCCAGGCACATCATAATCAAATGCCAAAAGCACAAATAAGAATTCTTGAAAGCAGCCAGAGAAAAATTTATTACACTCAGGGTAATAATGATACTAAGCAGGGCCAACGTCTCATCCAAAATAAAGGAAACAATAAAACGGTCCTCAGGGGCTGGAATGTGTAAGGCCTTTGAATAGGCAGCCTGAGGGATTCTGAATTTTTTACATATGGAAGAAAGTTTTAAACAGAAGGATGACATGACCTAGTATACATTTGGAATCCTCAAGAGAAATGAGAAGATCTCCCCAGCCCTAAGACCATGTCATTAGTAAATAGAGGAGCCTAGACTCAAACAGCCTTTTGAGAGCCTCTCTCATTGAATGAGGCCAGACCCTGCCTTGCAAGTGAAACCTTTCAGGGTTGGGTTGAACTTGGAAGGCAGCTCCCTGTAGAAATCACCTGTTGACTTGCAAAGGAGGGTACCAGTGGACAGAGGACAAGAAGTCAAGAGAAAATGCTGGAGAGTATGGGAAGTTCAGGAAAAGTTTCTAGGGCCATTCAAAACCCCAGAGTGCAGCTGCAGGCATCCTTCCTGCAGGCCTGACCCAGTGAGTAACAGTCCTTCTTCCACAAAGCCTGGTGATGAGCAGTGTGGCTTTGCTTCTCTACTTGGGCTTCTCACGGACGGGGTATAATTTTGGCTTTCTGTTTGATCCTGTATCTTAAAGAGGCCTTGGCTTATTCCTAAAGGACTGTTGGACAGAATCTCCCAGAGAGTGTCCCCAAGGAGAGGACCCGGCTCCCGTCTTGGGCGAGGTGGCTACTTGGCTGATTGGCCTCACTCAAACCACTGTACACCAACCCTAATGTTGTGTTGTGTTTTACTTGGTTTTGTTGGTGCTATTTGCTGCAGTGAGCCCTTCAAATGACCAACAGTTGGCTTTGTTTTCTAACGGCTGCCCTTTGGCATATGTTGTCAGCATGACCCCGGGAATTTAGCCTGCTTCCTGTGAAGGAACTGAACCTGCTGATCTCCTGACAGCTGCCCACCAATGCATGTTTATTCCACTTTGGAAATTCTACTCAACATAGCAAACCCAGAGATTATATACTGTTTTAAATGGTTTTCTTTAGTGCCTTCTATAAACTTTTGAGATGAGACGTATCTCTAGGCCACTTATAGAAAGCTTCCAGACTCGCCTGTGGCCCGAGTAAGTAAGTATTATTGAAAAGAAAGTTTAGATTTTGTAGAAAGAGCTGTGTCTAGGTCAGACAGGGGCTGCAGGTACAAAAGACTGAGTTGGGAAGGAGCACGCTGGGACCGTGAAAGGCAGTTCTTCAAAGGCTGTTGAGCTCTTCAGAGATAAGTACTGATCTCTCTTCTGTTGGAGTAGCCTCTCTTACAGTGCCTCCAGCTCAGCCTCTTCTAGCGCTGTCAGCCAGATGTGGACAGGTGTGGCTAAGATCCAGCCTCCATGGTGCCACCTGTGTCTGATTGGGTATTTAAAGTTGTGCTGTCCAATTCTGTGAAAGCACAGCTTCACTTTTCCAACATTGTATGTGATTCAGCAGAAGAAAAGGAGAAAGGCTGCACCAAGCCAAGGGCCTACTGCCCACTGAGAAAGCTGGCTCTGCTGATTGTCTCCTGTTTGCACTAGTACTTTTTGACACAGTTCCCTCGCTATAGATTCACAGAAGTGTAGGTTTAAGAGGGAGCTGGTGAGGGCACCCCTCTTCCTGACATTGACATTGATTTTCTGCAGCTATAACAGATTATAGGTGATATTTTCCCAAATGAAATCTCCATTTCACATTGGTACAGCCCTGAAGACACAGGCCTCTGAGTGTTGGCAAATACGATATGGCCCATGTTTCGTTCTGTGCCACAGTATCAGAAATCTTCACCTACCGACCCCAGTGGAGCACATTCGCACTGCCCTGAAAATGTAGGCTCCTCAGTGTAGAAACCTCAGGGCTTTTATGGAAATCCAGCAACTCTTTCCCTCCCTCGTCTCACAAGCCTTTACAATCCTGAGCGACTGCTTCCCACCTCTTTTCCTGTCAGATCTCTTAGTATTCACGTCTCCCAGAACGTCTTCCTTACCTTGGCCCTCCCTGGTCTTGGCTTTCCAGATTCATCATTGGCCTTAAAAGTCCAGCATGAACAGAAGCCACCTTTGGCCTTCTGGCCTCCCAGGGCCATCTAACCTGCTCGCCGCCTCACTCTGACTTTGCTTTTGTAGTACAAGTGCTCCAGGTGCCTGCTCGTCCACTGCTATGCCGCCCGGTGCTTCCCCCACCATCCCAGGCCCTTAAGCAGCTCAGTGGGTGCCTCTCTCAGTGGTCACGTATTGGTAGAACAGAGAGTTGCTAAGTTCCTGCCTGTGCCACACATGTGCTTGGCATGGTGGGCAGAGGGTGGACAGCTGCAGACGTCACCCCGCGGAACTTGGCCGCTACGAAGTGATGCCTTCACTGTTTTCCCCTCAGCGGCACTACAGTGTAAAAGAGGTGGCATTTTCTTCACATGTAAGGTATGTGAGGCTAGAGAACAGTAGGTACTTTCCTGGGAGGCTTCACCTGGAGAAGAGCAGTGAGGTGGTGGGCCCCGTCTGGTGACTTCCCAGGCTGTGGGCTTCACCCCTCCCACAGCTGCCTCCGGGCAAGTTTTAGCATCTGCATATGGAGGGAGGCTCACGCGTCCTGTGTCATCCTCTTTCATGGTGCTGTGTTCTGTTTCTGCAGATTGAGCCCTACATGCCGTATGAATTCACCTGCGAGGGGATGCTGCAGCGGATCAACGCATTCATTGAGAAGCAGGTGAGCCTCTTCAGAAGTCTGTGTGCCTGCCCTTGCTGTCCTTTGTTCCCTGTTCCCCGGAGGGCTCCCATAGTAGTTTGGCGTTCACCATGTTGTTGTGGTCATTTGTCTGCTTTAGAAGATTCCAGAAGCTGGATAATGGCTGGTGGGATTGTAAGTGCAGCCGGTCCTGCACTCGGAGAGGCAGTCTTTCCCTGCAGTGTGTTCTTAATGACAGAAGAAGGTCATGTAAGTTGCACAGTAGGAGAGGCCTGGTAGTCAAGATGGAGACTTCCTTCCACCCAGGCCTGTGTCCTAGGAGGTTCTGGGGACATCATGAGGGTGGGGGATCAGGTGCCTCTGTCCTGCCCTCATTTCTCACCATAAGAAAGGCAAGGACATAAACTAGTTTCTAAGCATTCCTTTAATAGCATATGCTCTGAAATTGTAAGCATTTTAGGACTTTTTAGTGGTTTCTAACGTCTTTTCAAATAAGACCCATTTTCAGATGAAGCCTGGGTATATAAAACAGATCAAAGCAGAGCTTCAGTTCCATTGTAGGAAAGGGCACCCACAGTCCCACCACCCCGAACAGCATTCAGAAACCACGGCCTGTGCCCCTGAGGTAAAGGCCATGAACATCGTGACCCTCCTGCATAACATTTTAATTCCAGAACAGAGCTAGAAATAGACCAACTCCAGACCTCCCTAGGTAGGGGAAGCTGAACTCCTTGACTAGATTCCAGAAATAAGGGGCTCCCCTTAAAGGGTCAGGCCGAGTGTTTTATAGGCGACCAAGGGATCTTTACACAGTGAGGGACGAGGATGGCTGAAAATAGAAATTCACGTAGACACAGATCGAAGACGCGATGGAAGCTTCAAAGGAAGAGCAGGAGGCTTGAGATTGACGCCGCAGGGAGGAAGAGGCCACGCTGTGGGCTGTGGGCCGCCCAGCTGTCTGGGTTTTCTGTGGTGGCAGGAGGGCAGTTCTGCAGCCCAGGCAGCTGCTTCCACTCCCAGCGCTGTATGTGTGTGGTTGTGTGGTGTGGGCATATGTTACACAGCCGCTCTGTGCCTCTGTGGGCTGAGCTATAAGGGCTCATACACAGGAAGTACTTAAAACAGGGCCTGGTACACAGTGCTTGATAAATGCAAACTAGTGCCATTGATTACTTGATACATTATGCTGTATGGTAGCATTTTGTGTTCCTGTTATAATCACGTAATTATAATAGATTGCTAATCTGACTTTATCATGCAAGCTGAGCATTTGAATCGTTAGCTCCATCAGTCTTTGTATGTCTACAGAGTGACGATATTATCCTAACGCCAGCAGCCACACATGTGCGGGTTCATCCAGCATGTGCCAAACGAAGCAGAGGCCCCCAGCTCTGCCTTCTCTGTGTTTCACCTTCTGAGGTTTGCATTACGCATGGTCAACCATGATCCAAAAATACTGGATGGGAAATACCAGTATGATACCGTAAGAAATTTTGAGAAGAGACCATATCCACATGGCTGTTATTACAGCATACTCATTCTTACCTCAGTTGTTAATTTCTTGCTGTGCCTAATTTTTAAGTTGAGCTTTATCATGAATATGCCTGGGGAAAACACATAGTATGTATGAGATTCGGTAGTGAACCTAGGTGTAGGGATCCGGTGAGGGTCTTGGAACACATACCCCAGTCAGGGTAAGAAGCCTGCTGTGTAATCTCCCACTTGCTCTGCACAGTAGTAGCCATCGGCCCCGTCCCTGCATCGTGGGAGACTCAGTGTTAGGGCTCACGGGTGGCACGATCAGCATGTTGCGCAGGTTTATTGTGAGGCCGCCTCTGCACGATCAGCATCTGCTCGGGGGCTTAGGGGTCTCAGGCGCTGGGCCCCAGCTTCCTCTCTTTCAGCTGCTGGTCTTCCCTGAAAGTGTGGAAGGGAGCTCCAGGGCCTCCTTGATGAATGTCATCTTGCGTTTTCATGAGGGCCTGCTTCCCTACCTCTCAGGGAGGATGCTTCCTCACCAGCAGACATAAATGACTCTCAGTCAGGTTTATTTGTATTTAGGACAGGGTCTACAGGGTCTCGCTACATAGATCAGCCTCATAGTGATTCTCCTGTTTTCAGCCTCCCAAGTGCTGGCATTACAGGCATGCAGCACCACGCCCGGTCTCAATCACGGTCTCAGTGCACACCGGGTATCAAACCCCGGCACTGTGCTTTGCCTAAGCAGGCGCTTTAGTCCACTGAGCTATCAGGCCAACCCTCAGTCAGGATTATTTAAAGATCTATCTTTCTTCCCTTTCGGAGGCTCATAAGCCAGTCCTTCGAACATCTCAGTTCTTCTACATTCCTAGTCTGTTGCTAGGCTTTCTTAAGCACAAAGGTCTCACTCCCGAAATAGACCTTGCTCAGCGCTCCTTATAGAGGCACTGCCCCTGGCTTGTCCAGCTGTCCCACCACAGTGCCTGACACAGTGGGTGCACTGTCTCCCCAAAGTGAAAGAAGAAGGGATCGAGGAGGTCAGTAAGTGAATGGAAGCATCGGGAGCCAGGCACTTCCTTGGGCTTCGTGGTGCTGAAATGGTCTTCGGGAAAGCATGCAATGAAGTTGCCCTTCCCATCAGCTGCTAGCTTTGGAGATTCCTGCAGAATTGTGCAATTCACATAAATCCAGACTGCTTTCCTGTTTTTACTGTTGGTTCGTTCATGAGCTCTGTGACTCTGTGTCACCTGGAGCATCTGCAGGGCTGGGCTGCCTTTGGGGAAGAGCTGTCAGGCGCAGCCCCTGAGCTCAGGCTTCTGGAGGTTCACTGAGGAGACTGCCAGTCCATGTCCTTGAGCCGGTGTAGGTTAAGCCGCACACTGGTGACACAGCCTGCGTGCTTTCAGGTCATATCACTCCCCCTGCAGGGTGAACAGTGGAGAGTTGAGGAGAGTGTGAGGGAAGCAGAAGGGCTGGCCACGTCAAATGCCAGGCCTGAAGAGAGAGAATCAGTGAGCCTTACAGCACATAGTCGTGGCTAAAGAGAAAGGAGAGACAGAGCTAGAGCATGAGACAGGGTGGGGAGACACTGAGGCTCGGCTGAAGTGTTCTGATCTGATTCTGGGAAAACCAAGGCAGGAGCTTGTGAAGAAAGGCTCTGTCGCCAGGTGCGTGCAGTGATGCTATCAGGTAGGTGGTTTAGGAAAATGTTTCTGGGAGTCTTGTGTTTGGGTCATTTCTTGTAAGACGTTTTTTCCCAGTGCCCCTAAATGAGCAGTAAAGGGATCATTTGAAGTGTAGACCAGGAATTCCGTTGGACTGAAGATGTTCCTGTCTCGGGGCAGAAACCAGACCCCTCTGGCTCACACCTCAGGTCTTCTGCCTTTGTGTGTTCTAGTCCTGAAGAGCTTTTGTACTGGGAGACATTTGTTGCTTTCATGGCTAGCAGAGAATCTTCAAGTTGCAGCGAGGATGGAGAGAAGCTGCTGGTATGGACAGGAACCCAGCAGCATGGGAAAGAGCTTCTTGCACTGTGGACTTCAGGAGCCGCAGCGTGGCTCACTGTGGCCCCCGGGGCTTCCATGTGGAGCACAGGCACTTTTGTCAGGGTCGTTCCTAACACTTGCCCAAGGCAGCAGAGGCCAGAAGCAGCCAGTAACAGCCACTGAGAGCACCCAGGTGTCAGGGGACAGCAGAGCAGTCATCAGCAGAGTGCAGGGCCCCATGGGAAGGAACCAGGCTCTGGGAACCCCAAGTGCTCACCTCCCTGCGTGCCTCCTTCCCTTTACCCCACTAAAAGGGGTTGTGAGTGTGTACTATGTGAAATGAGCTCCCTAAAAGAGATGCAGCCTACAAGGGAGAGTTAGTGCCAAGGCAAACGCCCCTTGTAGTCAGACCAAGCTCAGTCATCCCCTAACTCAGTCATGAGACTCCTTAAAGTGTTCATTATGCTTTTGAGGGGGAAGGTATGTACGGGCTAAAGAGTTGGATAATTCACAGGAAATGTCTTGTATGAGTAAGGGGAGACCAGAAGAGTCTGCTTCACAGGTGGAGTCAGGTGCAAGGCCAGGTCCAGCAGGGAGGCTGGAGAGTCTGGGGCTGGGAGCACGGTAGAAGTGACACAGTGTGCAGAAAAAGAGGAAAGGGCGCTGCAACGGTGAGAAGGTGGGCACTAGCCTGGGCAGCGGGGCCGTAAAGACGAAGCCCTGCAGCCTGGAGTGTGGCTGCCTCATCCGCAGCCCGGCCCGGCCCCCACTTCGTGCAACATTGGGCAGGTTCCTAGCCTCTGGGCTGTTGGCTTTGCTGCTGCTTATCCCATAGAGCCTTTGCTAACATCTGTCCCTGGCCGTGAAGGGACGCTGAAGCCTCAGCTGCTCCAGCCCAGAAGCCCAAAACTAACCAAGGCGTGTTCCCCACAGAGCATGAGGTTCACGCTGTGCAGAGGTACAATTTGTTGGCAAATGGCCGGAGGTGTACAATTATCACGTTGACCTAGTTGTGCGACATTGCCATTACCCCAGAGTGACACCTGTTTGCAGTCTGTTCTTATTTCTGCTGCAGCCCCAGGAAACCACTCATCTGTTTCTGTGCAGGATTTGCTTTCCTGAAGATATATGGCTTTTCCACTTGGCATCGTGTCAGGCTCTTCCACACCGCAGCACGTGTCAGGATTCATTTCTCATTGCTCAAGGGTGCTCCGTTGTGCAGACAGACCACAGTGTGCCCATCCATCCGCCGGGTGATTGGTGTTCGGTGGTTCTGACTGTCACACTAGTGCTGCCGTGAGCACCCACACGCACCTTTGTGCAGACTGCTCCAAGTCAGAGCTCAGCAAATGTAGCAAGTCCATGTGCACTCTCGAGGTGCAGTAGATCGGCGGGTGTGGGGCTCTCCATGCAGAGCAGTTCCCATGCTCAACTTCACAGACACCATCTCTGCTGCCTCATGAAAACACAAATGAGCACCCACTTCTGGGAAGCACCCCAAGGCCATATGAGGGACGGAATTGGTGAGTGGGGTGCATTTAACCCAGCCAACCAGTT